AGTAAGCCTGTAGGACACAGTAGAACTGCCCCATTGAGCTTCTAAGGCTGTACATCTTTACAAAAGCAGACTGATAACATCTTTCTCCCACAGAGCAGATGGTGAGTTCAAACCACCAACCTTTTGATTAGCAGCTGAGTGCTATACCCATGGCTCCTAATGAAGGGCTGCAGATAAGCAACTAAAAATTTGGAACTGGAAGAGTTTTATGAGGACTTATAATAAAGTTAGATATCTCACTAGTTAAAAACAAAATAATTATAGATTTGGGTCTATTGTTAGGAGGTAACAGGAGAGGGACTAAAAAGCCAAGATATGTAGATTATTGACCTTGCACTAGGTATACTTGTGCATGTTAAATAATAATGAGGAAATGGACAAATAAAAATATGAATATTTTGTTCATATTCACTGAGGTACAAGTTCATATAAAAGACTGGGTAAACTTAGCTTCTGTAAACATGTCCAGTTATTGCTTAACTCTTCACACTGTAAAGTTTTCCTTCTCCATGTGATTGTCAACATGTTGAATATTCTTTTGCTTTTCTCAGAGTATTTAACATAATGCTGGGCATAGCAATAATTTAAGAAATTTTAAAAAGTACTTAGTTGATCAAATATCTATTGGTATCATTCAACAGAGGAGCATAATTTAAAATTGGAATGGCTGATAAAATTACCCAGTCTGTGAACAGTACTGTTCCCCCACAGGAAAATGACATTTTTATAATTTACTATCCACATATGCATCTCTAAAAAATAACTTTAATTTTGCTTGTTTTGGAAATTTATAAAAATGTAATCACATTGCATTCCTTTGTATTTGAATTATTTAGCTCAACATTTATGTATGTGATTTTTGCATGCTGCTCTATGCTATTGTTTATTCTTTTTCATTCTATAACCAAACCAGTCAGACTCATGGTGATCCCCATTGGATTTCTAAGTCAGTAAATCTTTACAGAAGTATGTTGCCCTATCTTCCTTTCATGGAGTGACTGGTGGGTTTGAACCGCTAACCTTCTGGGTAACAGTCAAATGTCTTAGGCACTGTGCCATCACAGCACATTTTTTCATTCGATAGTGTATGCTATTATAAGAATGACTATAAACAATTTATTCATTCTATTGTTAATGGAAAATTGAGTTGTTATTATTCTTGGCTATTATGAACGCTGCTGCCATGAGCAAATATTCTCCTGATGCATATGTCTAAGAAGTTTTGTAAGGTGTAGAACAAGGTTTTTCTACCTCAGCATTACTGCTATTTAGGAGCAAGTAATTCTTTGTTGTGGGGGCTCTCTTATGAATTGTTTAGTGGCACCCTTGGCTTCTATTCACTAGATGATAGTAGCATTCTCCCAGTTACAGCAGCAATAAATGTCTTCAGACATTGCCAAATATCCGTAGGAGGCTAAAAAAAACCCTGATTGAGGGCCACTGGTTTATTGGATTCTTGGAAGAATTAATTTTAATTAGTCCCATTTAACCTGCAGCTGCCACCCCCACTCAACCCAACTTCCATCCACCTCGCTTCAGCAGCTTTATTTTCCTCTCAGGCCATGGAGGCAAATATGAAAAACCAATGCCATTATTGGTTTAATAGTATTCCATTAAATGATGGAACTTTGGTCACCAGGTCAGATCAGTGGATCAGGCCATGGATGTGACTTTTTTTTTCAAGTTCACCTACCATTAAGACCAGTGATGATGGTATGTCCCTGGGTATTATAAATAAAAACCAAAACCCAAATCTGTTGCTGTGGAGTTGATTCCAACTCATAGAGTAGGATGGTTCCGTAGGATTTCCAAGGCTGTAATCTTTATGGAAAGGAGCTCTGGTAGTATAGTGCCTAAGGCACTTGACTGCTAACCAGAAGGCTGGCGGTTCAAACCCACCAGACACTCCTCGGAAGGAAGGTTGGGCAATCCTACTTCTGTAGTGATACTGCCTCGGAAACCCAAGGAGGGGTCGCTATGAGTCGGGGCCGACTCGACGGCACATAACAAAAACAACAACAATCTTCATGGAAAGGAGCTCTGGTGGTACAGTGCCTAAAGCATTTGACTGCTGACCAGAAGGTTGGTGGTTCAAACTCACCAGATGCTCCGTGGAAGGAAGATGAAGCAATCTACTTCTGCGAAGATTTATCACTTTGGAAACTCTGGGGGTCACTATGAATCGGAATCAACTCAAAGGCAGTCAATATAATCTTTATAGCAGCAGATTGTCACATCTTTCTCCTGCATAGCCAACCTTTCGCTTAATCACTGCACCACCAGAGCTCCTGCATATGCATAGAGTTTATGTAATAAGAGAAAGAGAAGCTCTTTACCCTCATGGAGCTCTCCTGACAGTGCTGAATTCTATGCTTATGATTTTGTGGAGTTTTTGCTTATTATTTTGTATCAAACGATTGTTAGTTTTAAAATTCTTTATCTATCACATAGATTGAATAGACACTGTTTCTGTGACCTGCTGGTAAAAATGAATAACACTGTATATAGGTAAGGGTGAAGTTGAAAAATACAGTACCACCTCATTTATCCAAATTCTCAGCTCTAGGAAATGCAGTTAAAAATAAACAAAAGGCTTAGGGTTATTATCACAAAAACGAGCAAGCAAGCAAACATTATTATGTAATTGTAATTTCCTTTTTGGAAGAAAGCAGATACTTTCTGTGTACCTGTACGTTCTATCCCTCTGTACCTGTATGTAAAAAAACCAAAATAAACAAAGAAAAAAAACCCCAACTGTCATTGAGACAATTTTGACTCATAACAACCGTAGAACTGTCCCATAGGAATCCCAATGTAATAAATCTTTACAGAAGCAGACTGCCTGGTCTGTCTCTTGCAGAGTGAGCAGTGGGTTCAAACGGCTGACCTTTTGATTAACAGCCAAATGCTTTAACCACTGCACTATCATAGCTCTAAGAAAAACTAATGTTGTTATTTGCTTTCGAGTTGGACCCGACTCATAGAAACCTCTCCTTGGGTTTCTGAGGTAGTATCACTATGGAAGTAGATTGCCCAGCCTTCCTTCTGAGGAGTGGCTGGTGGGTTTGAACCGCCAGTCTTCCGGTTAGCAGTAAAGTGCCTTAGGCACTATGCTACCAGAGCTCAGGTAAGATCTTTGGAGCTTTTTGAACCTCTTTCACCTGGGCATTCACTCCCTCACATCATCTATTCATAGTATATTACTGGGTTGTCCCTTCCACTAAATCCTATTATGTCTGAAGATAATGGTGTGGGTTTTTGATTACTCTACCTTCCTTCTTTAGTTTTCTTCCTAACCAGGAAATACTAAAATGATATGCTCTGGTTATTTTTCTTTCTTCTAGTAAGAAATACACTTAGTAAGGAAAAACTTATCCTTTGAGGAGTTCTCCAGGTCTTTTCCGAGTTACTAATTGCTTGCTTGGCTTCTATCTCTCCAAACTGAAAGCTATTTAAGCTGAGCTTTCAGGAGTTTTAATTAATTTCCCTCACAACTCTACCCGCTACTATAATTCCACATATAGAATTCCATGTTTGGAGAATAAAGTGGCAATGGGCCTGGATAATCACCAAGTTAGAGGAAAAAAAGCAGGAAAAACATGACTGCTGGAAGAGAACTTAGAGGTAATTTAGGTTAGTAGTGCCCAGCCCTGGCTATGAATTTTGTTAGGTCAACTGTCTACAGCAAATAGGTATGATTTAAGCACATTGCACAGGCACATAGCTAGCACTGTCCTAAGAACTTTGTGCATGTATACACACACATTCACCCCCCCCATCATCACCACAATCTTATGAGATAGAAACTAGTCTTACCCCCATTCTACAGATGAAAAACTGAGTCACAGAGAGATTAAATCACTTGCCCAAGGTCATGTAGCTGGAAAATAATGAAACTAGATATCAAGCCCAGGTAATCTGTCTATAATGCCCATGTTCCTAAAGGATATATATAATAAATCTATACCCAAAGTTTAGGCACTATTTTTGTTTATGTGTTCATTTGGAGAGACTCTATAGGCTACAGAATGGGGTTAGTTATGATCTCCATAGAAGTTGATCACCAAGACTTTCATGGTACTGATGCTGGGTGGGTTCATATTGGCAAACTTTGGGTTATAGCTGAGCACAGACCACAGACGCTGCCACCCAGGGACTTTTATATACTGAAAGTTTAAGTCAGAGCCTAAAAGTACTGAGACCAAATTCTGAAATATAAGTCTCAACTTCTAGACCAGTGTATTTTCATTAATTCTCATTTATTTCATTAGATGATCATGTCACTTGAAAATCATATAACTTTAGGAGGTAGATATCATAACCTAAACTTTAAAGAATAAATGGCTGAAAAGGTAAAGTGAGTTGGTGTTACAGTCAGCATAGAAGTTTGAGTCTTCCATCCTCCAAAGCCCTGCTTATACTTAGTGACTGGAGCTCTTTTCAACTGTTTTAAATGCAGAATGCAGTCCTTATAGTACTGTTTAATCTTTAATGGATTTTTATTATATAGCAAACAAGCTCATTTTGGCATATTTCAGTAATTATCTTACTCTGAATTACCTGTTAAAAGTCTATTTTAAGCAGAGTACTTAGGGTTAATTTTACACATAGAATGCTAAAGAATAATTTTGAAGGCAACCCACTCTAAAGTTGATGGTTGGAATGATTAGTGTTTGAATCAGAAGACATGGGACTTATCTAGTCATGCTGTATTATTAGTAAATAACTACTTTTATCTAAACCAATGCCATTCACTACACGAAAAAAAAAGATCATTAAAACTTCAGCCGGGAAAACTAACACACACCTGGAACATTTCCTACATTCTTTTATGTTTTAACACTCAGTTACTATCTCTAACCTTTGGTTTGCTTATGAAAGCCAGTAATCATGGCAAACCCATACTCTGAAAAATTTGTATTTAGAAAAGAGCCAATGCTTCAGGAAAAAATTAATTTATGACAAAGTAATTGTTTTTTTCCCTAGAAACATACACTTACTTCTGCTTTTTTACGAGCTTCCATAGCTTTCATAAGCATCATATGTTGTCGCCTTCTCTCTCGTTCCTATTAGGCCAGATAAAATTAGGAAAATAACTCAACCACAGTTAACAATTTGATTTTTAAATGGAAAAACAAAAACAAAAACAAAACTTGGTATAGCATGTTTAGCATTTATAGACAAGTCACAGTAAATACTAAATATAAGACAAGAATGGCCAATCTGTGCATGTTTTAGTTCAGGTTTAGAAAGCAAATACAAGAACAATCAAAAGCAAAAAGGTAAAGCAATGAACATGGAGACAGTGTAAACAGAAGCATACAAGATTTACTATGGTCAGTTGTGATGCTCCTTCAAAAGCTGGCAGAACAAAAAGCATAATGGTTGGCTGGAACAGGTCAGTTACCTTACATCTGCTATTAACAGAAAACCACAAATACTTACTATAGCCAATTAAACTAAAGGTTATATTCTTAAATTTTTAGATCAGAAAAAATGGATTTATAATTACTTTCACCTTATAGTTTTAGAATTGGCTAGTTTTATTTTAGTACCCAAATTGTTTTGTAAATCCAATAAGTCACCAACAAATTAGAAAGTTTATTTTATTTATTTTAAAAGCTTATATACCAATTCAGTTAAACTAATTTTGGTTCATATACAAACATGAGTCAAATGGGATATTCCTATTTACTGATGTCTGCCACTTGATGCACTCTTTAAAACCACAAAAGCTGCACCATGGGCTAATTATTAAGTGGAACCTAAAAGGCACAGTATGAAAGTAATGTAAGCACTAGCTTAATTTGAAGGTCTCATTTTATTTTAAGATAAAATATCACATATTTATATTATGTAATTGATTATCAGTTTAATATATTTGGTTTTGCCAAAGGGATATTTCTAATTTTTTAAATGAAATTTGTCTATAAAACCAGAATATATTTCAAATTCTCTCATCAACCAAACTCAAAATTCCCATTGTATTCAATGGCAGTTTTGCATCTAGAATGATGGGAGAATATGGGTCATAATTGCATCTAATTGTACACTGATACAACTTTCATTGTGACATCAGTAATGTAAAGTTTTAGACAGTAGCCTTAAGGCTTGCATAATTCAGTTAAAAATCTTAGATATATATCAGACTTTCTTTATAGACAGACAAGCAGATGTATGCAATGCACTGTGCTGTAAAGCCATGCAGCAGTATGTAATATGACAGCAGCCAGTGCTACACTTTATGCATTGCTATGACAACCATATCACAACCAAATCACAATGCGGTGTTAGATGTACAAAAATAAACATACCCATACCATATCTAGTCTATGCCTCTCCAACTCCTGGTAGAAAGAGTTGGCACAACATTATGAAACAGAAATCACAGAGTCATAAAACCAATTTATAACCCCCCAAAAGACACCAATACCAAAGCAAGGCAATAAACTGTAAGGTGAAGGGAAAAATTTAAGCAGAAATTATATCAGAAAATTTTAAAGAAAATAATTTGAAGATTTTTCCCCAAATAGCATTAAGCAAAATTATAAAATGTACAGTTCAACAGTTGTAAACCTCTATGTATACAGACCTGATGCTTCAGAAGGACAGCTTGCTGTCTTCTCATCTCTTTCTCCTTAAAAATAACAAAGTTTTAATCTATGAGTTTTGAGGAAGACTTAGAACATGCTAAAAGTATTAAAAGTTCCTTTTCTGAAACTGTCTAGTTTTATATTAATCTGAATCATATGAAATTGCCAATATTGGATCATTTTATACTTATTAAATGATAATTTCATAGAGTTCAACCTAATATATAATTGTTAATTTATATCAAAGATCTTCAGTAGCCATTGCACCTTTAAATCCAATGGCCTAATAGTACATTTCAAAGGCACATTCAATGAAGTGACTAGTTGGATTGTCAGAACATTATCAGATACAACAGGCACATGCATTTTTTAAAAAAATATTTTGATAAATATGGCAAAAGCCTCAAATCTAACTAATTAAGAATGCTCTCTGTTTTAAAGATATAATCCTAAATATATTCTGTAATTGATAACCTTTATTTCATTTCTGGACATTGTATACGAATGAGAGTAACAAGAGTCACTGTGATCAGTTTGAGATTTTCATGCCTATCTATGATCCAGGGCACTATTTCAAAGCGGGTGGGGCTTAACATAAACAATTCTGTGCAAGTCACCAATTTCAAAATTTTTTTAAGGGTAAAATCTGGATGAAATTAATAAAAAGGACAACCACAAATGAGGGCAGAAATCTAAAGAAGAAAGTAATAGAGTTATGTAGAAAAAGTAACAGTTCCCTGGCTTTAGATGGTTGTCATGGTGGTAGCTGTTTCCAGCACCAAAAGTATAACTCAAGTATCAATACTTAACTATCAGGAGTGGAAGGTAAGATGTGGGGCAGACAGGGTAGGGAACAATTCTTTTATTTTTCACGCCCAAACCCAACCCCACTGCCATTGAGTTGATTCTGACTTATAATGACCCCTATTTGGGTTTCCAAGGGGGTAATCTTTACGTCAGTAGATTGCCCCATCTTCTTTCTGTGGAATGGCTGGTGGGTTTGAACCACTAACCTCCTGGTGAGCAGTCAAATGCCTTAGGCACTGCGCCACCAGAGCTCCTTATTCTTCATGCCAGGAAAACAAAAACAAAACACCCTCAAACACTGTAATAACTAATAATAGCTAATTTTGTTATCAATAAATAACAGCTGAGAAAGTTAGGTTCTTGCTTCTGCAGACATTTCAAGAGAAAGTTACAATGTAAGGTGGGGAGTCATGATTTGGACACAGTCTGAAACATAAACATAAACAACACACCAAATAGTTTTAGAGCAATCATTTTGTCAAGGAAAATGGTACACAGGTATCAATGCAATTGTTTGTTATTCAAGATGTTTGTTATTCAAGAGCTAAAACGAAACATCACACAAAACCTATATAATGAAATTAAGAAATATATATAATATACACACAAATAAAAGCATACATTATACACATGTCATATTTCTGCTAAACATATTTTTACGTAGTCATTTGAGGAAAACCATTTCTTTCACATAATTCATACTGGTATAACAACCATATTGCTTTTATTTTTGAAAAGAAAAACTCTGATTCTCATCTAAACTAACCTTTATTCGTTTCTCGGCCTCCAACAATTTGGCATTTGCTGCTTCTTCTTTCTTTTTCTTTTTAGCCTGTGCATGCAAAACAGGTCTCAAAATCATGCAATAGCATTACTACAACTTGAAAATAATCTCAAACATGAAATGAAGCTACATACCTCACAAAGTACAAAACAATACGTAACATAACATATGCATTATACAATTACATATTTTCACCCAGTTAATGTTATATTTAACATACTAATTTCATTTCTAATTTACAGATCAGCATCAGGACACATAAAAAATTCTTAAATTCACAAGAATATATGACAACTTTGTTTTACCTTCTTCAAATTCTTTAAAAAGTCTGAAATGACTGAGTATTTATATTATTTTACCATAAAACTTAATCACAGGAAACAATTTTGTCATTTATTGCTTTTAATTTTTAAAAGTAAAACAAGATTGCTATAAAAATTTAGAAAAGACAGATTTTAACTGACAAAAATAAAAATTAATTCACAAATGAATCATAATATACTAAAAAATGCACCTGTCTACTTTATTTGAAAATTTTTTTGTAATACTTGAAATTTGAGAAATCCATTACTCAAATGATTTAAATTAAACATTAAATCTGATTTTCCCTATCTGTAAATTACAGGTAAATGCAAGTTTTTTTTAATGGAAACTTGTCATATTTCACATAGCACATTTTGACCATCAAGATCATGCTATCAAATTTGACTTTCATAATGTTAAAGTCATTAAGTATCTAGCAGCTTCATATTGGTTATTGTCAATTTACTTTATGATGGAAATAGTTTCAATTTGGATGGTTTTAAAGTTAATGTGAAATAGGTTAAAAAATGTATATATTTCTAAAAGGTAAAAATTATTACATAGTAAACTTCAGCTATCTAGAGCCCTCAGGAAATAAAATGTTCTATAAAGTAGTAGAGTTTCCTGAATAGCTAAAAGGTTATAGTAATTTTAAATATTAGAAGTTTATTTTCACTATTTTGGATAGAAATAATTTTAAGACATATGCCTGCATAGATATAGTACACTAAGAATAATCTGGCTGTTTCTTAACGAGTCCAGTCAATTATTCTGGCCATCGGTTACTATACTGCACAATTACACTGATTGATGCCTTTGGTCTATTAAGGTGTTAACAATTGCTTGCTATTAAACTAAAAAAGTGCAGGCTTTGTCTGGGTTTTCGAGTTCCTGTATATGGTAGTTTTAAGTTTTTTTCCATATTTCCCTGGCTGTTTTGTCTTTTGGCTATTACTTTTGCTGTTGCCAATTCTAATCAGCTTGGGGGTGAGGGGTACATTAGAAACTGGATCTCCAAGCTGGTTAAATTGTTTCTAAATTTTAAAATATACTTTTATTTTTATATTTTTAAAATATATACTCTCATAAACATTTGTTTCTAAATTAAAAACAAATATTTGGCTATAAGCCCTAATGATTTTTCTCAAAGTAATGAGTTTTATTATATGAACTTTATGTAAACTATACTGGTTGCTTAGAAATTTCCATTTTTCTTTTTTGTCTTATTTCCTGGGATTTCACTGATAGATTTAGATGAGCTTGCTGGTTTAGGCTGGTAAGGTCTTACGTGATACACTATGTTTAAAGAGAATTTTTATGGACAAATTATTTTGGATGAGTGAGATAACATATAGCAAAATTTTATGTTTACTTTTATTAAAAAAATGTGAGTATACTACTTTAATTACATTAAATTTAAGAAGATCTACCTCTAGGATTTGCTGGGCTCGAAGTTCTTTTTCCATTCTGATTTGTTGTATCCTCTTAATTTTTTCCTGTAGGAAAAATTATGATTAGGTAAGATGAATAAACTAAGCATCTAGGTGAATAGCGTTTAAATGGAATTATTAAGAATATAAGTATAAAACTAGTAAAGGCTGCACAACTCTAATTAGTTATTTAAACTTCATATATATATTTCATGTCAAATTAAAGGTTGTATAAAATCAAAATAATTTGTAAAGTACAATGCTAAATAAATATATAGAAATGAGGTAAGCCGAGCTGATGTAACTCATATAACTAAGGATCTTCATAAATATTTGTAATTACAAAAAGTACATAATTTGAAATAAGTGCAAAATAGCATAGCAGAAAAAACACTGTAGGAGGAGTCAGAAAACCTAAGTCTAGTAGTGGGTTAGCTAGGGTCATTTACTGCACAATGTTGAGCAAAGAATAACTGCTCTTCTAATAGAATAGAGAGAGCTGCTTGCCCTTTCCATTTTGTCAGAATTAAATGTAAAAAAATTTAAAATATAAAGTGCCACACAATTGTAACAGATTATTATTAAAAATAATTTCTATACCACAATTTATTTCACTTGCTGAATAACACAAAAATATTACATTGCTTTTAATATGCACAATAAGAGAACTTCAGAAACAGTCCTTAAGAATACCCAAAAGTAAATTAATTACAACCGAGCATCTGAGGGAATTACTCACATGGCATAATTTAATGTACTGGCTATTGGTTAGGTTTTAGAATTTATGATCATCTAAATCTTGAAAAGAACTTTACTGAGTGACTTAAAAATATTATCTCATAGGCAAGAAGCACATTATCAGCAATTTCATGTTTGGGTTTATAAATCTGTTCAAAAGTCCCTAACTGGCACTGATGAGAGGAGAATGCAAACATAGTTTAAAAAACAAAAGAAAAAACCTAAATTTTCCTATTTGCACATTGCATTTATCCTAGAATTTCCACAGCCAACATATTTTATACTGTCATATATTAGAGTATCTGCTACAATTTCCATATGTTGGTTCTACCTTTTAAAACTATACTTTCATATGTTTTTAACTGATCACTTTTCTAGAGCTTTGTCTTAACTGTCCAAGGGATTTATATCAATGCATATATATTTGGTAGTGCTGTCATTAGCATGTAACAGGGACAAACATTATTTATAAGTTATTAAAATATAGATTCACTTTTTAATATTTAGTACCCAACCACTGAATTGGGCACACTGCATAAAATATCTCAATCATCACAACAATTATTGTTGTTGTTACGTGCCGTGGAATCGGACCCAACTCATAGCGACTCCTCTTGAGTTCCAAGGCAGTATCACTATGGAAGTAGATTGCCCCATCTTCCTTCCAAGGAGTGGCTGGTGGGCTTGAACTGCCAGCCTTCTGGTTAGCAGTCAAGTGCCTTAAGCACTGTGCTACCAGAGCTCCTCAACAATTATAGAAGTTGAAATTATTTTCTTTCTATGTAAAAGAAAACCGAGGTTCTTAGAGAGTAAATATTTTGCTTAAAGTTAAACCATACATATAGAGCCCTGGTCAGATCCTAGTGCCTGGGCTGCTCTACTGCATAATCATACTTTTGTAGTTTCCAGAAAAAAATGCTTTGAGGAGTATCTGGTGATATTTTTGGCCGACTGTATTGGAAAACAATCCAGAGGATAAGAAGCAGGCGACTATTTCATTATGTATCTAATACTGACATTAAGTACAGCATTATGAAACAGACCGTGTGAGTAGATTTATTCTCTACTTTGATTCACTTTGTTGAACATAAGAAATGAATCAGATGTTATTCTGAGACTAGCTTTAGATAAATATCTAAGACCAGTTTATTTGCATTATTTTTTCAGTGCTGTTTTAATGAGCAGCCAAGTCTATGTGGACTTAGATGGTGACCACTTCAACATTTTAGGATCACAAAACTAAATTTAAAGTACTGATGGGATCTGATGAATTTTCACCACTCACTGCCATCAAGTCAATTCTATAGGGACCCTATAGAACAAAGCAGAACTTCTGCAATACGGTTTCCAAGGCTGTAAATCTTTACGGAAAAAGACTGCTTCATCTTCCTCCTTTTCCACCTTTTGGTTTTCCAATCTTTTGGTTAGCAGCCAAATACTTTAACCACTGCCACCAGAGGTCATTATTAGGACAATTCAATCCACTGCTGTCGAGTCGTAGCTGACTCATGGAGACCCCTCCTTGGGTTTCCGAGGCGGTATCACTACGGAAGTAGATTGCCCAACCTTCCTTCCGAGGAGTGGCTGGTGGGTTTGCACCGCCAGCCTTCTGATTAGCAGTCAAGTGCCTTAGGCACTATGCTACCAGAGCTCCTATTATTACAAAGGACCTCAAAACGCTGACTCTAAACTAAAATCAACTCTTACTAATCATACTGCATCAGCCAATACTATGAGGAACCTTAGTGCTAATCACATCACATTCAACCCAAGCTATTTATTTTGTAGCTATCAATAAAAGAAAAAACTGATTTTCATTTTATACTCAGAAATAATTATTTGTTGTTTAAGAAAAACAATTTTCCCCATTTCTTTCTACTTCCATAGTTACATAAGTATGTGGAGATGGGTTGACATATTTTCTTCTTAAACGCAGGTAAATACCTTGTCTTTTAATATTTTACCTATCAGAATTGAAAAATTATTTCATTTACATAAATTAAATTTTAAAAACCACATAAGGGAGAGATTGCAGATATGAGATGTATAGAACACTGGATATGCTAAAATAATGCTCTTCTTTTTTATTTTTGCAGTAGCAATTTTAAATTCACTCTAAAAGCATTCGACACAAAATGATAAAGAAAAAAAAAACTTTAAAAAGCATTCAGAAACAAGGAGGGCAAATCTTATTCTATATAATTTGAATTTAATTGAAGAAATATTTCCATATTTTAGAACAGAAAATTTTTGTTATTAAAATCTGCACACGTAAGCAATACTCTTCACTTACTGATAATATTAATTTTCAAAAGTTTGAAAGTTGTTCAAGATATAAACTAATATTCAGAGTCTATTGCTGAAACAAATTTACTATTTGGTAACCATCTCTTTATAAACTTAGAAGTAGAAGACATTAAAAAATGTGGTAAAATATTAAATAATAGAAGATGACAACTTTCTAAATAAGGCATAAAACATTAACATGAAATATAGTTAAAGACATCAAAATAAAAGTAATGTACATATACACACAAATACCCAAAATAAGGCCCTTGCTTTAAAAATCAGTTCTGATGCATAAACATACCTGCTGCTTCATAATCTTTATCTGTTCTTTCTGTTTCCGCTTCTCCTCAGCAGCCATTATTGCTATGACAAAAAACCAAAGCACAGACATCAGAAGAAGAGAAGCTTCTTATGAATTCTCCAATAGTCACTGTTCAAGTTTATGTAATCTTTTAGGTCACACACCTTGTTGTTTTTTAGCTTCTTTGGCAACCCGAGCTTGTTCCTGCTTTTGAAGTTTTCGCAAAAGTTTTATTTGTGCTGCTTGTCTGGCTATTTCTGGAAAAAAAAAAATTCAAAGAAAATTACTAACTTTATAAAGCTCCTAATCTAAAAACAAGAACTCTGTGAATTAAATATAATTATGAAAGGCACAATATTTAAGAAACTTGCCTAAGCTTAGATAGTTACTAAGTTAAAGAGCAGTGTGGCAAAAAATGACATGTTCACTTCTTCTAGAAATTACAAAATTATTTCATCAAGTATGATTCCATATACAGAACTAAACAAACATCATGTTCTCTTAATCTTCACTGCAGATGCTCACTTAAGGACATTTTTTCCCCCACACTCTGAGGAATCCCAACTTAGGAGGAAAGCAGCTACTAATATGTAAGAACAGCAATTTGGCTTCAATCTTAAAAACAGGAAACTATACATAAAAGAGAAAGGCCCCAAAACAAAACTAAACAAATACAAAGCCCCCCAAACATACTATTTCAACTAGCTATATCAATAGTAATGTTCCTAAATCAAATGATACTTTCATGTTTTTTTATTGTGCTTTAAGTGCAAATTTATAGAGCAGAGTTTATTTTACATTCAACATTTTGTGTACATATGGTTTCACTCCCCAATTACCATCCCCAACCCTAACCCACTCTCCTCCCTCCCTTCCCAGTAACCACCCCCGCCATGCCCCTCAGAGTTATGCACTCCTGTGTGTCCTGCATTTCCTCTGCATGAATGCTGGCTCTCTGGTGCCCCATGATCGATTGCTCCAGGGGATGAATTTCCATAGAGTATGTGGGTGCGTCACCCTGGGTTGAGTGGTTTGTGTGTACGTCTTGTTTACTACTGGGCTGGGAGCCAGCCCCTGGGAGTGAGTTTCGTTCCAAGCTGTAAGTGTATCCCGGGGCCATAGTATTGGGGGTCCCACCAGAGTCCATCTGACCAGTAATTCTGGTCATTATTGTCTTTTTGGATTTTTTCCTCCTTTTTCCTCCCACTCTATCCAGGATCTCCAGTTTTGATTCTTTCCCAAGTTGTTGGAATTGGTAGCTGGGCACCACCTAGTTCTTCTGGTTTCTATGTCCATCATGTCCTAGGGCTGACTGCTTCCAAATGTCTTTGTTTTTTTGCATTCTTCTTCACTTCCCATGATAGGAGACCATTAGCTGCACCTTAGATGGCCATCTGAAAGCTTTTAAGACCCTTTTAAGTTGCTACTCACCAATATAGGTTGTGGAACAAGATTTTAATGTATTTTGTTGTGCCAATTGAGTCTGGTATCCCCCAGTACTGAGTTGGTAGATCCACTGGATCTCTCTCCCACAGTGTCTGGCTGTCTGTGAGGGATTACTCTGTCTTCTGTTGTTTCTGTAAGGATTGCGGGCATTTTGTATGACTGGTATCTGAGCAAAATTAGTGTGAGCAGAGTCTATCCTTGTTCTAGTGTACTCCTGTTCACTGACCTCTCTCTGATCCTCTTAGGTGTTTATGTGTTTATCTATAGTCTGGTGTTTAGTGTTAATGGTAATGCAGTATTGTAGATATACTGGTATTAGCCTGTCATCTATATCTTAAGCGCACAATTTGCAATTCAGTGTCCCCCCTTTCCCCAATGTTATCATGGTGGTCACAGACTCTTTCCATACCACCCCTCCCCTTGCCCACTTCAGCACGTGGCCCCCAACCAGTCTGAAATAATTCCCTTCTCTTCCCTCCCCATCTCAGTAACCTGCAAAGTGAGTTTCCTTCCTTAAGCAAACCATTCCTTGTCTTTTTACAGTTATGGGCTCATACAATATTTGTCCTTCTATGACTGCTTATTTCACTCAGTATAACATCTTCCAGGCTCATTCACATTGTGAAATGATTCGCATATCTTTCATTGTTCTTTAATGTAGCATAGCATTCCATTGTGTGAATGTACCATACTTTGGTTATCCATTAATCCATTGATGGGCATTTAGGTTGTTTCCATCTTTTTACTATAGTGAGACTTGTGCTGCAATGAACATAGGTGTGCATATGTCTGTTCGTGTCCTGCCAATCACTTCTTCAGGATATATTCCTAGTAATGGAATTGCTGGGTCAAATGGTATTTCTATGTTTAGTTTTTTAAGGAAAGGCCATACCTTTTGCCACAATGGTTGTATCATTTTACAATCCCACCAGCAGTGTATGAGAGTTTCAATCTCTCTGCAACCTCACCAGCATTTGTTATTTTCTGTCCTTTTGAACTTTGCTATTATTGCTGGGGTGAGATGATATAAAGATCTGGTGGCGTAGTGCCTAAGGCATTTGACTGCTAACCAGAAGGCTGGTGGTTCAAACCC